GGGGAAAAGGAACGCCTGCTATAAAGACCCCTATTGGTTCATTTCTGCGGTCGTTGGCGGCAGCAAAATTCTGATTGGTTAATCGGACAAAAGGACGGGTGAAGTAATGCTGGCTGATTTGAACGTCGTCGCTCGTAGTGAATTCAAGTTAAAAACGGAGCAAGAAGTTGCAGTAAAATCTCCTCTAGATGGAAAAGATGTATTAGCGGTGTTGCCCACAGGATACGGCAAAAGCCTCATATATCAAATGTTTGTTTGCGCCAAGGACTTTGAACTGAATGGTAAAGCAACGATTCTGTTGATTTAAATTTTTATCGACTCTTGTGCTGCATACAGCTTGTTCGTTAAAACTGTACAGTTCAGCTGCATTTCTTATTTTGCCACCACAAGATCTACAGACCCGCTCTGAAAAGTTTTCGTCTCTCGTTAGTGGAAACCCAATCGAGCCGCAACACTCAGCTAAAATCAGCCCGACACTTTCTTCTCTGTCCGACGGCGAAAATATATTTTCAAATGACGCTCTTCCTCCTCCAGAAGTAAAGGTTACTCCACAAAATCTGCAGCTGCTGATTTTTTGAATGTCTATCTTTGGTTTTCTTCCTCTTTTACAAACCTTTGTGGGAGTTGCTGACATTACACGGCCTGAAGATTTTCTCACAATGGTCGCTGCTATGAATATTTTTTCACGCCTTCCCATGTAAAGTCAGTCATGCAGAAAGGGGCGTGCCTTATTCTGATTGGTCATTGAACTAACAGCTCTGTTAATCCGGTTACCGTAAAACAGTAGGCAGAAATGCAAAAGAAGCGGCTTTTGTAGCAGGCGTTACCTTCCCTGAATCCTCTTCCTCCTCCCCAACCCCCTCCCCTTTATACGCCTGCTACGCAGGCCAAAAGTCATCTAAATGTGGTAAAAACATCAGCGTCGAAAAATTCGGCTATCACCTCGTGTGCCACTTTTTTGTCTTAACTATTTAAGGGAAAGTGCCTGACTGGTGGTAACACGTCCATTAAACAATCGGGGTCTGATTGTCTAACGTTTTCGAGAAAAAGCACGAACTGGTGTGAAGGCCGGGTGCCCACTCTATGATAAGAGGAGGAACCTGAGGTCTGGCATATAGCAAATCATTAAGCAGGATCAGGGGGTTTGCTACCATGGAACTTTAAACCTGTGCTTTCAAAAATGGCTCGGTAATTCACGAATAAATCCTGCCTTATGAAGTGCACCAAAGTGTGGCAAATACAAATGACTCAATTTACCCATTAGCAAATGAGTTGAGAAAAAGTACTTGAAAATTGGTCATTTATGCTAATATAAAGGCGCAAGCTTCCAATCTATAGCGAACAAAACATATATACGTATAACATCTGTAATTTTGCTATTTAGACAGACTTGACAATAGGTGATAACAGGGGTTAGAAACCACATGCAGATGATATTACGTTCAGCGTTTGTGTGAGTGTGCACTGGCTGACAGTGTGTGAATTCTCGCTGTGCGAGGGAGCTTCGTGTGCATGCCTCAGTGAGGGTAATATGTGATACTAACTTGAAGCCAACTTGGTTTTATATATCACTTGATCTTCTTTACATATCTTGATAGATTATATTACAGTTGTGTGCTTAGTTATCTGACTTATGAATGCAAGCGAGGCTGGAGGTGACCTTGCTTTGATACAAACTTCTCTGTTTTTCTCGTTTAAATGCCAGCTTGTTAACGTTAGCATAAGAACAATTTGATTTACACAACAAAAGCAGTGGGGTCTTTATCGATCAAAACAAGGCCGCCTGCAGCCTCGCTGCCATTGAAATGCCAGGTCATTGAACAGACAACTGTAAAATGGTCTAATGGCTGTCTGGATGCTCTAACGATTATGGCTGTTCCAGACAGTCAGAACTCTAAGCAAGTTTTTATTTCTCGAATTCTTTCTTTTTATGTCCGTTAAATTTTAGTTGCATTCAGCACCTGAAATATAGGTTGTTGTTGCTGATGATCTCACTCGATGGTTGTTTTCCTTAGTGATAAGCTTGCTTATTTCCTCCTTAATGTCCTTCTTCAATAACGCGTAAACAAAAGGATTCACTGCGGAGTTTAAAACCAGTAAGCAAGAGACGACCTGGCCCGCTTGATCTGGCATAATATGACAAGAAAAAATAAGGCACAAAACTAAGTAATTGACCGCTACGTAGCATCCCAAGAAGAACACAACGAGAGCAATGATGAAACGAGCTGTGTTGTTTTTCCTACGTTTATGCGAGTTTGAAAATTCGATGGAGTGGTTAGACTGAATTTGTAGTTCTATTGCAGCTTCTTGGCGCGACTTTGCACGTGCAGCAACCAGGATACGAACGACAGCATAGAAGAGTAGCACACAGCAAATAATGTCAAAGGCAGACACGCCAGTTAGTTTTATAACAATATGAGCAGTGTTGGAAGTTATGACGTAGATTCCCACGAGAAGTGACAGCGAGATCGCAAAAGGAATCGACCATGCTATCAAGATAACTATTCCAGGGCGTCTCTTCGTCATTGAGTTATTGTATTTGAAAGGATGAGCGATGGCAATGTAACGATCCCAAGTCAAGGTGCAAAGATTTGTGACCGAAGAGTGAAGGAGGAACCAGAAGAATGCCTTTTGCACCCTCAAGTTACACGCCATTGAGTAATTGCAAAAGTAACTCGATGGAAAAACCGCAATTCCGACGCCAAAGTCGGCTACTGCCAAGGAAAGGACGAACAAGTTGGCCGAGCGTAAATGTAGTCGGCGAGTTTTGGAGACGAGAAAGATTACAAAGCCATTTCCTGCTGCAGTTACGATTGAAAGTAGCCAACCGAATACATTGAACCAATGCTCCATTAAAGCTGCTATATTGGTAAACAGTAAGCTTATAGTTTGAGCAGTCCTGAACACATCAATTGTTTGTTAATCAGTTTACGAAGAGGAAGGGCAACTTATTTTTATGAAGATGATCCTCTCATAAAACTACCCATGAGATCGATGCTATTTTCAGCACAATAAATTTGCCAATGACATCCAAACATGGTTGTCTTTCAGTTTCTGCGATTCTTTCAATTTCTGCTATACATATGTGTTTTACGTATAATTACGTGTATTACTATACATTGAACTCACTATCTCTTTTCTGATTGGTCGTAATTGTACAGTGAATTTTCGAAATCAGCGCCTGTGACGCAGATTATACAATAATCATGTCAAGGACACTCAAGGTCACGGGTAATCATGTCAAGTTCGCGCGCTTTGTGTTGCTTGCCGTCAGTGAAGAAGCAAAAAAATGACTTCCATTTCTTTTGTTCAATGTATAATAAATTATTAGATTCGGTTTTTGTGATATCCAGAATAATCAAGGTCTCGGTTAGGGTTTTCAGCCTCAGCCTTCGGCTTCGGCTGATAACCTACCTCGAGCTTGATTACTCTGGATATCACAAAAATCTCATCCAATAATTGTTTACAGTAGTAGCTAGAATAGTCATGTGCCATATCAGTTCCCCATATCGATCCCGATTTACTACAAAGCCATCGAAGAACCGCACTGGACAATTGAACTTTGAATGCCTTTGGTACCCATCAAATAAGAGGTTAAAGCACTTTTTGATAACTGCACTTGGGAGTCGGCACATGCCTTTTGATGCGCTCAGGAGATTAGTAATAATAACAATGACGAGGCCAACATTAAGTCCTGGACTCCAGAGGCGCCTCATCTGTGATCTCAACTCGCGTTCTCAAAGGCCGGCGGTCTTTGCGGCTCTTATGTTTACCTTTGATAGCATAACCGTTAAAGGCGATATAAGATGTGTTGGGGGAAAAGTGGCAAGTGCTATCCGTATAGCATACATGATCAAAAAAAAAAAAAAAAAATTTGGGACTCTCAGACCGGTTCAAAAATGGTTAAAATCATACACTTAGTTTTATGAGAGTAATATTCGATTATTACCCAATAAGCCATCTGACTATTGCTTGCATGCTTGAAGGTTATGAAATGCTGTTTTTGCTCATTAAGAAAACTCAAGCACAATGACCTATAACATATAAAAGCCGTATGAAATTTCCCCTTTCACACTACGCCGGAGAAATTAATTTGAAAACGCAACAATCACCGGTCATTTTCGATTTGTGTTTGAGGAAAACTCGGTCAGGGAAATCACGTGATTATCGTGACGTCATCGTTTTCGAAAAGCTCCGTTTTCAACATGTTTCCCTCCACTCTAAAACGCAAAGCCAGCGTTTTCAAATTCTGTCCGGTTTGAAGAACGTTTTCGAAATGCTCCGTTTTCATGCCGTATTAGCGTGGACGGTAAGCCAAGCCGTAGAAATAAAGCTGTGTTTTCAAATTTCTCCGGCATAGTGTGGACGGAGCCATACTTAAACCGAAGAAAACTAAAGATACCGCTCACAGTGAAACGGATAAATTATTTACCATGCAGTACGTAGTTAAATCAAACCACTTCAACGCAATGAGGTTTAGTCTCGCTAATTACCAAAGTCGGCTTTTTAAAAGCATTCTACATTACTACCTGCGATGTAAATAATATTTCTGAAATTCAGCCATAAAACAAAACTTATAAACTGAAAAAATTGGATCAAGAGTGTTGTTTTAGTTAACATAACATTGAAGGCGTCATGCAGTGAACATGCAATACGGAATGAAACTAAAAACCTCAAGAAACCCCAAAATGCCAACCAAAAAAATGTCTGTACTGTCTAGATATACTGACATACGCTTTAGAGTTGTACTGTATTGTATAACGTAAACTGCCGCTCGAAGCCCTCTCTCCCTCCTCCGCTAATAAGCTCTCCCGGAGTAGGCCCATCTACCTGTAAATCTCAAAATAGATTCGGTTGTAAGTCCTCCCCGGATATAAACCCCGTCTAACTTTGCTTGTTTTGAATTTGGTTTATTATGATGTTTCAAAGCTTAATTACCAGAGAAAATCCTATTTCGATCAACATGTGCTACTATAGCTCGTTTCGACGTTGTATAAGCCCAGGGCATACAAGCGGTAGTTTACTGTATGTCAGGCTGCTGGATATATTTGAACAGCACTCCATTTCGGCAATCATTTTTTCACACGTCCAGTGTCTCCAATGTACACACAATTGAATCTCTTGACAATCAATATCAACAATAGTCAAGAATCAATATTAATGATAATCGTTATCATATATAACGAATAAAGCGAAAAGTAATCAAAACTCCCGGAATAGGTTTTTGATGCTCAATAGTTTAGTGAAATACGCTTTTTAGTGTACAATCTCGGCATTTTGAAAAAAAAACTATCTAAACAGACCTTGCCTGCGTAGCAGACGCTACCAACCGCGGGTTATCTACGGGTAAATTTCCATCTGCTGCGAAGATAATTAAACAGACCACGCTTTGCGAATGCAATTTAAAACAACGGATATTCCACTATCTACGTATATTTCTTTTATTTTATGCACTTGACAGACAAACAATAGAACTAAGAACGAAATGTAAATAGGAATATCTTATAAGAAAAAACAAAACAAACAAAAATGGCGAGGAGACCGCAAAAAATATTCAGTTCATATGCAATTAGGCCTCCTCAGTTAACATCAACTAAATTTAATACACAGCAGCAATCCATTTGAGTTTCACTTAGTTACTTTGTCGCGTGATCACCTCAAACAGACCAGTTAATCGAATCTTAAGCAAGCGAAACGTAAATTATTATAATCTAAAGAGCTCATTTTCCAGTTTTACAACAGTCGACGGGTGGCTGTAAAGCTTTTGAAATCAGTATACCCAGACGTTGCTATGGCTGTGCACCTTAATTTAAGAGACACTATATCATGGTTTCGTTGCATTTTGGTCAAAACCCTGCTAAACTATGACTAGGCACGCTCGATTCCTTCGTACCCAAATTACTTATGCACACTGAAATAAAAAAAATATATTGAGTGAATTGGGAGTCAATTGGTGTAGGGCCTGAGCAAATGCGGCGGTACCAGGTTTTAGCTTTTTTTTTTTTTTTCTAAGAACGACCTTTATTACTTCAACTTGAAATCACCGGCCTTAGACATGCCTACCTCCATCATTTTGACACTCCTTTTATTGTTTCATTGCTCTTATATCTTATAAGAACTTTTTAACAAACACGGAGTATTGCGTTTTGGTTTCCATCAAATGAAAATACGTAGTTGTGAATGAATTTGAGTTTTCGAGATTGTGATCATGATTGAGATTGAGATTGAATGAAGCTATTACCGGATGATTTCACAGGAAAACAGAAATACCTGTGTCGTTCAGACAAAGAATATTGTTAATATAATTCCTGCACTAATTTGTCCATAAAATTTAACTTTGGTACCAAATACTACGTGACAACAAGAAAAAGGAAGGTCATCTTGTTGCCATACTGGTTGTGTCCGTTTTAGTTGCTACCGAAATATCATTTTTTAAATTTCCTGTATATCATATATATGTAGATGGTTCATTTAAGTTTCGTCTGCAAATAAGTCTTTTTATTTCTGTCTTAATGTCCCTCTTCAAACACGCGTAGACCAAAGGATTCACTGAGGAGTTCAGAACCAGAAGTAAAATGAGGATTTGGCTAGCGTGAACAGACATATGGCAGGAAATCGTAATACACAGAACCAGGTAATTCACAACCACGTAACATCCCAGGAAAAACAGGACTATGGTAACTATGAAACGAGCAGTGTTGCGCTTCTTACGTCTTCTTCGTGGAGTTACGGCTTCCATCGATGAGTGATTAGACTGAATCTGCCGTTCTATGGCAGATTGTTGGTGTGACTGCGCACGAGCAGCAACTAGGATACGACCAACAACATACGAGAGCAGCGCGCAACATATTACGTCAAAAGCAGACACGCCTGTTACTCTTAAAATTTTCAGAATAGTTTTTGATTCTGTAGCATAAATTCCCACCAAAAGTAACAGCGAGATCGCAAACGGGATCAACCAAGCCATCAAGATAACCATTCCAGGGCGTCTCTTTGTCATTGAGTTATTGTATTTTAAAGGATGAACGATGGCGATGTAGCGATCCCAAGTCAAGGTGCAAAGATTTGTGACTGAAGAGTGAAGGAAGAACCAGAAGAATGCTATATACATCCTCAAGTTACACGCCATTGAGTCATTGCAAAAGTAACTCGATGGAAAAACGACGATTCCGACGCCAAAGTCGGCCACTGCCAAGGAAAGGACGAACCAATTGGCTGAGGAATGAAGGCGTCGATTTTTGGCGACAAGAAAGATTACAAAGCCGTTTCCTGTTGCTGTTACGACTGAAAGTATCCAGCCGAAAAATGTAAGCCAGTACTGTACCATGTTTGCAGCGGTTCGTAACTGATGGACTTTTTCAGCTGTTCGTTTGGAAGGAAGAACTACTCGTTTATGTTTGGTTTTTCACCTCTTGGTAGTGCGAATTGATTTGAAATTTCCTACCAATTTTCTACACTGAGTGCAAAGTTTACATGTCGGTTATGCCTTCTTTCTGGGCTGGCGCCGCTGGTTAAAAAGAAATTAAGGGCGTTTTTAGAAAACGAAAACCCTGATCAATAATTAAAAACAAAAATAGTACCTGTAAAATGCATTATCATAATTATTCCGGAATCTTTATGTCGATTATACATTATTCGTGAGTAGTTTTTAGATGAAAAGTTCTTTTGATGATGTATGTGGAATTGCAAATGATCATCAACTCGAGGAGAAATTACCCACAGACTTAATCTGACTTTTAACGGTTAGTAGAGCGCAAAATTAACCAAAACGAAAAGCAAACTCAATTAATGTTTCTTGGCTCTATTTTTGAAGGCCCTTGTTTTTTTTTTCGTTGTTGTGTAAATGCTGTATATTTATTTATTGTCTCGTTTGGCGCCATGAGTATGCATTTCAAAGCCAGATGATAATGTGAAATTCGTGATGAATTCAACAATGGATCTTTCTGAAAACATTCTGGTAATTCGTTGCAAAGATGAAAAAGAAACCGCCCGTCCAAAGACAATTCTTGCGGGTGCCTTTTTGTTAGCTTTGTTAACATGTCACGACTATTTCACAAATGTTTTGCCAAGTTTTGTTTACAAAAAATCGCAAATGTTCACGCAGGGAGATTTCTAAAAGGTTTGCCTCCGGCCTTATCTTCAAACTTGGCAAGTTGGTCTATCGAGAGCAAGCCATGTAAACTATTGACTATATCTATGTAAATTTATATACCTTCATAAGGCTCTTATAATTTCTTTTTTCTTTTTTTTTTTTCTCGTGGCATGCCTGTAAACTAGCTTTTTAGCTAAGCGTACCGACCACGTTAAATATATTGATTGATTGATTGATTGATTTGACACCGACAATAAATCATACTATTTAACGGATGCAGGTCTATGCAGATTAATCTAGCCATGGCTGCATGTTACAATAATTTGCTCCAAATTATTTTCTCCGGGTTTTCTAAATAAAACGATCTTAAAGCCGGCTTTTTCGCCAACGTTTTCGATGATTGCCAGTTTTATCATGGTTCAGATCTTCGAACAATCGGAATATTGAAAACTTTAAGAACAACAACAAATACGAGTACAAACAATGATCACAATTTATTTGTTTGAGATTGTTCTGATATCTCATAGATAATAGAGAGCTTTCGAGGGACGAAGGCGACGCAGAGGACGATGCTGCCCCTTGTAAAAAATTGATTTAGGTTTTACCTTCGAATTTTGGAATTATCTGGATCTGCTAGGTACGCCTGTTGGTCTTAAAGCTTGTACAATTTCAGTGTGCAATAAAAGAGTTAATTCCAAAATTAGCCGAAGTGGTTAACTTTCTCGAAAACATACGGAAGGTGGTTATAATAATAATAATAATAATAATAATAATAATAATAATAATAATAATAATAATAATAATAATAATAATAATAATGATAACAAAAAAAATTAAAATGTGGTTTCAATTTCCGGAACGTTCCTGTGACGAATGCAACAGCATTTTCCGGAATTTTCTGAAAACAGGACAACCTTGCGAGGTGTACCGAAATTCTCGAAAAAATTCTTACCGGGAATTTTCGTTCCATTTGACTTTCCTTCCGGAATTTCCAAAATTTTTGGCTTTCGGAAAATTCAACAATTTCCGGAAAACTTTCTCAGGAAATTTCCGTACCATTTGTCCACGTTTCGAAATTTTCTTAATTTTTGATTGAATGGAAAGCGCCCAGCATTTTCTGGAATTTCCGGAAAATAGGACAACTTCGAGATTTTGGAAATTTCTTACCCGAAACTTCTGCTCGATTTGATTTTCCTCCCTGAATTTCCCCAAATTTGGTTTTGAATGGACTTTGTCATGCATGGCCGGTCTCGCGCTCAGAACCTTGCTGTAAAATTTGCTTACTTGTAAAACCACTGCTCTTCAGGCTTCTTTCCTTAAAAGAATTGTAAAACCCTCCAGAGCACCATTTGCAAACTAGCCTCTCCCAACAAATTCTCTATTCTGAGTATTTTTATGAATTTTTGGGTGTTGCCTATTTCACCTTATTGAAAACCTCTTTTTACATAATCATGCCTGGTGCTCTCTGGTAACTGTCCGTGCCATCATTCGCAATTTTCGCTTTTTTTGAGTGCCTTTTTATTTTAATTTTATTAGATTTTGCTTCGGTCTGGGTTTGCGCCTCGCACGGGTCACATGTCCCGTTCGCGTCAACCCCTTTCATTATTTATTTCTCAAACTAATTAATGATTCATCAAGTTTAGACAAAGCAAATCACGACTCTACATAGATTTTTCCGATTTGACTTCTTTCTCTTCTCCTTAGTTTTAGTTTCGATTGTGAAGATATATCAAACACTCAAGACAGTGTTTGACCACATTTCCAAACACCTCGAAGTTCGTCTAAAATACCCCGCTGCGCGTCTTACTTTCAACTCTCTTCTAGGCGTTTGGAAATGTGGTCAAACACGGTCTTTTGTGTTTGATATATTAAATAATGACCAATAAAGCTGAATGATAAATTAAAAGCGGCTTAAAGCTCTTCAAATCTTTTTAAAGACTACTTTGTAATGAGGCTCCACCTTGGTACTGAATCTAGTAAGGTGACCTCTAGATTATTTTTCTGGCCGTTTCGACTCAGTCTTCCCAACCAGTAAGATTGTTCATATCCAACTTAAACCAGAGGATTCACTGCAGAGTTTACAATCAAGAAAAAATTGACGACCCGGCCAGCTTTCTCAGGTATACAACTCGAAAATGTAAAATAGAAAATTACGTGATTCACAGGCAGGTAAAAATTTCCGAGCAGCCGGTTTTGGAGGTCGTGGCGTACGTTCCCACGAAAAGTGACAAGGTGATCGCAAGGGGGATCAACCATGCTATCAAGATAACCATTCCAGGGCGTCTTTGAGTCATGCATGGAGGTGTTGTGCTTGAAACGGTGAACAATGCCGGGCGATGTACTGATCCCAAGTCAAGGTGCAAAGATTTGTGGCTGAAGGGTGAAGGAAGAGCCAGACAAATGCCATGTACACCCTGGAGTTACACGAGTAATTGAGTAATTACAAAAATATCTTGACGGAAAGACGGCAATTCCGTCCCCAAAGTCAGCCACAGCCAAGGACCGGTGGCCGAGGAATGAAGTCGGTCAGCGAGTTTTGGTGACAAAACTGAAAGGATTACAAAGCTAACCGTTTCCTGAAGCTGTAGCGATCAATAGTAACCAGCTAAGATCATTGATCCAAATTTCTATTTAATTATGCGGTTCTACGAGAGGTTAGCGTTTTGTATAAGCAAAAAGCCAGGTTCTTGCTATGATCGAACACTTCTTTTCAGAAGAAATGTCGGTGCAGATGTCTTGTGATCACTTACCTGACAACTAATCGTGCGAATGGGCCATTTCCCAGTTGCCTTTCGCGTCTGTTTCAACTGAAACGAGTCCTTGTCCAATTTTTTTTTTTATGAAAATGAGTTCAGTTTATTTGCACTACGAAAATGAACGCGCGAGTGAACATATTTTCCTAGATAGGTTTCTGTTTTTGCCAGTTTTATAGCATATAGCATGAATAATTAAAGATCTATTTGAAAGAAAAACTTTATTCTTAAGATGCTCTTCCTTAATGTTCGTAAATCACCTGTTTCTGGACTCAAGTAAGGTTGCCATAAATGGATAATATTCCGAAATTTGGCTTGAGAGAAAAAGAGATATTTATTTCGAAACGAAAATGAAATGAATCAGTACTAATACAGCTTGAAACGGAATGTATCGGCGGAGCACATACTTACCATTTTTCATTTCGAGTCTTGTCAGCTATAGTTTCTGTCATAATGGGAGAAATATTTTCTATACAATTTCTGATTGTACTAGCCGCCAGCTACTCTCAGTAGTCGTTGCGACCAGCAGATCGAGAAAACTCTTTATTTTTCTTTAGTTTCGTTTACAGATTGTTTGGCTAAGTATGGATCTAGCTTACAGGGTCATAACTGACCGTAACCTTGAAATGCGTATTTTATTTGTTCTTTCCTGACATATATATACTGTTGCGTTGATCTTAAATCGCAGTTAATTTTTACGTCAAGAATTGTAATATGTTTGCGTTTACCCCAAAGTTGGCAAATAAAAAGAGACTTCGTTTTCTGGTAATTGGTCGTTGCCAGCCGCTCAAAAGCTTCACAAACTCAGGTCGCTCACTAGTCACAGTTTCTAGTGTAATTTATCTTACGGTACTGGTTGGTCGTGGTTTTCCACTTTTTCATTTCCAAAAGCTGGTTCAAGAGCAGATCCTGTAAATTTCAATTAACCGAAGTAAATAACAGTGCACGCGTTAGGTTTTGTGCAAGTAAAATATTACTATAGCTGATTACTGACATAAAGTCCAAGACGAGTTGGAAATGTCCGGAAACTTTTCAAAGTTTCCAACCCAAGTACTCGACTTCATGTCCTATGTCATAATGAATGGTTGGCTATAACCTGCCAATAATGACAGTTGACACTATTTCCTGTGGAACTGAATAGGTCTGAATATACTGAGTATCCTGCATAAAAAGGTTTGTCTGTCAGTTTGTCCGTAAAAGCAAACTAATTGGAGACCGCAGGGATTTTTTTCTACAGCATTTTACGACGTAGGACTGAAAAAGTATATTTTGTAAAATCTACTCATGAGACATTTTTCGTCGACACTAGTTATAAATTGGTGTTGACGTTAAAATCATAATTAATTTGTATGAAATCTTACGCTTGAGAACCTTATCCGACGCTGACTTGCTGTTGTAATAAGGACAGGGATGGTTTCATAAAGACTGTAGTTTCAGCTTGTATCCGGATGAAACACTTCTGGTTGTTGTAATGATGTAGATTCAAAATTAAAAAGTTCTGGCAGAAAAAAAAAAGCGAAATAAACTTGTACTTTCACTGTGTATTGCATGAAAAGATGACGTTGCATTGTGGAATTTTTAAAAACGTGAAATACGACTTCATCGTTCTGCATTAGGTCTGTATCCATAGGACCATCACGCTGACGGTTAGATTACAGTTGTAAAACAAGAAGTATATATTACAAATATCGCTACTTTGCAGGTATTGCCACAAAGCAAATATACAAGAGTTCAGAAGTAGCTAGTCAGATTCGGGTATGTTGCCAAGGCGTAGATTTAGTTGATATGTATATAGCAGTTTATTTCTTCAGGGTTAGTTTGATACAATTCAGCTAACAAACGTTGACTTGATTAGTTTTTCCCAAAAAGTAAATACTATTATTTTGCGAAACTAGGTGTTTTAAGCTGCCCGCGGGTCGGAAAACTAAAAGAATATGAAATTATTTCGGGCTTCTTTGTTCGTGCAAAAATTTGCAAAATTGGGCAAGTGTAGTTAGAAGTTGCAGCGCATGTGCTCCTGAAACCAAACAGTTCGTAAAGAAATTACTCTTCTAGATCCCAACACTGAGAAACATCTTCCGTTGTTGTTGTTGGTCGGTTTTTTTTAGCCGCGAGGCATCTTAAATGAAAATTGAATAACTAAAAAATGTATTAAGATTCCCAAACAATTGAAATACGGAAATTCTCCAAGGTACCTTAAATAATCTCAAAATATGCTTCAGGAAATACGCAATGTTTTCATGGATCAGCGATCATTTTACGAAGACGTAAACTGGCGTCTCAGTAACCTTCTAAAAGATCTCAGTTATAAAATTAAAAATTTGCTTACTAAATATTCTGAGGAAGAATATTCATGAATTATGTTCGTCAGAAATGTAGTAAATTACTGCAATGTCTCGATGTTCACTGCCCTGTTTCTTTTTCCAAAATTAGAAAATGCTCAGTGCTGCAAGAAACTGCTTCTCCTTACGGCACCGTTTGAACGAAACAATCTTCCAGGTTATTAAGACCTTCTCTGAGATTTTTTGTAATCCGATCTGTTTCTTCTTCGCTTCTGAATTTTCGGTGGCTACTGTCCACCTTCATGAGAGTTGCAATACGAAAGCTCGTTATTGCTCGCGCTACAACACTGCTTCCCGAGTAAAAGTTCCCTCCCTTAATTAATTATAAAAGTCGCCTTTTTGTAATATAATACTTTATGCCCTCATCTTCTCTATACCCACGTTTGCTCGAAAAAAAACGCTGAATATATTTTCCTGAATAAAACTATGTGATCTTTTTCATATCACCGGCTAAGTGAAAGAAAAGTAATAAAAGTTAAAGACGATGTGTTCTTAATCAAAGCAGCTTTAATCAAACGGAATCATGCACATAATGTACTTAAAAACTGTGAATCTTATTGTCAATCCAAATGCCTTTGTACATACTTGTAATTTTCTATGGAGATATATGTACAGTTCTAGATCTCTATAAGATTCTTTCTGACCTTCTTTGTTTATACAGAACTAAATTTAGGCAGAATATGAAACAATGAACTCCCAGCAGAAGGATCCAAACGACGCAATACCACCACGTGAATTTATAGACAAATACTGAGTGAGAACAGTGCGTTGAACTTCTTACTGGTCCGACTCGATTTAATGATGTTTCGGCTGTTCAGCCTTGCTCAGATAAACGTTGAAAACTAAAAACTAAAAACTATTTACACCATTTCAGAGTCATTACCATGACACACAATTACGTGAACAATAATTAAAACGAAACAACCGTCCCTTAGTCATTGCTATATTATGCAGCGATATTTAAATTCCTTTTCATTCTCATGCAATCTCTTTAAGAATAGTGCTTTTGTGTAAATCACGCTTAAGTTTTTGTTTTGTGGTTGGGGCTCAAATTTACAACACTCAGGACTGTTTTATCAATCTGAAGTATACAGTTCTTTGTCAATTTTGGTCGCCGTGATTTTACGAGATTTCGAGTTATAAATGACAAAGGCCTGTAGAGCTCTTCAAACACATCTGTGTAAGTACAATTGAGACACTGGACAACGCACCGTGAAATTTACATTTGTTGCAAGTTAAATACCGAAGGCCCCATTATGCCTAGAGTAAAAGATAAGTTAGCTTTGCGGCTATATACATGTAAAATGTTCGCACAGCTCAGGAAATCCAACTAATTTGCTACTGCAGTTATTGATGATGCTGCGTCGCTGTGGCTGCTTGGGTTTTCTCTGCAAACAAGCTTCTTTATCTCCATCTTAATGTCCTTCTTGAAAAAAGCATAAACCAAGGGATTCACCGCAGAATTCAGAACTAGAAGTAGAAAGAGGATATGACTAGCTTTATCGGATACTTTGCAAGAAAAAGCCATGCACATAACTAAAGAGTTAACCACTACATAGCATCCCAAGAAGAACACGAGTAGGGCAATTATAAAACGAGCTGTGTTTTGCTTTTGACGTCTGCGTGACGTTGCGGGTTCGGCAGCATCGTTGCACGAGAAGGTAGACTGAATCTGTTGTTCCATGGCTGACACTTGGTGTGATTGTGTACGTACAACAGCAAGGATACGAACAACAGCATAGAAGAGCAGCGCACAGGATATTATTTCGAAGCCAGTGACACCGGTTAGTCGGAGAACTTTCCAAGCAGTGTTGGAGTTAGTGAGGTACATTCCCACAAAAAGTGACAGGGAGATAATGAAGGGAACTAACCAAGCTGCCAAGATAACCATTCCAGGGCGTCTCTCAGTCATGGAGGTGTTGTACTTGAAAGGGTGAACGATGGCGACGTAACGATCCCAAGTCAAGCAGCAAAGATTTGTGACCGAAGAGTGAAGGAAGAACCAGAAGAATGCCATCTGCACCCTGGAGTTACAAGCCATCGAGTAAATACAAAAATAACTTGATGGAAAAACGGCGATTCCGACACCAAAGTCGGCCACTGCCAAGGAAAGGACGAACCAATTGGCTGAGGAATGAAGGCGTCGATTTTTGGCGACAAGAAAGATTACGAAGCCGTTTCCTACTGCAGTTACGATTGAAAGTAACCAGCCGAGTGAATTGAGTAAATTTTCCATTTGATGCGCACCTTTTAAACCAACTTTTTCAGCTTATGTTGACGCCTAGAAACGATATGTGGAGTGCAGCATCAATGAAGGGAACCTGACTAGTTGCGGTTTTGTTGAACGTCATTTATCACTCTGACGTGTTTGTTATGTGATGGGTAATATCGATGTTACAAGATTTTAGTTCAAAATCGATGCCCATAATAAAATGAGATTTACAATTTTGGGCTCAGGCATGACGCCTAAATGTTTTTCCTTGTTTATTTTACGTTGATTGTATGTCAATTTTAATGATAGAATCTAGAGAGCATTTGCGTGAAATTGACATCTACCATACATCCACCTCTCAAACTGCTGTAGTTGGTCTTAAACATCAATGGTTTCAATATTGTCCATCTTAGAAACGTCGTCACGTTGTTATTCAGTATTTCGTTCCATGACCATTTACGTGACAGGGTCTTGCAATTAAGGCCAACCGAAATTAGATTTCTATTCTTATAAATTGTAAGCTTTTTCTCTTCCTGTCAGTACATACAACAATCAATTACACGATCGGGCAAAGGCTCTTTAAAAAGAGGCTTTTTAATGACTTTTTCGTTTTTGTAATTTCCTGTGAAATTGTTCTGATTAACATCCTGCAGATAGAGAAAATGATAACTGCTGGCGAATTATTGAAAGAAAAAAAATCCCGGCTCCAAATTGTCAATTCCCTTTCTTTTATTGTGAAAAGTTTAATATAGCACGAAGTTTTTAAAACAAAGGGCTAGCTCAATATACCTTGAAAATAAACGGCTGTGACTAATTGATTCATATTCTTCCCAATATGATTCTTTGAACACAATCGAAGAGACGAACTCTCGCCTCTAACTAAGTACTGGGCATCAATACTTCTTTTGGGGTCTTGCTGAATTTTCAGCTTGTTGGCAAATCTTTTCTTTTTTCTCACACATGCAGTTTCGCGGGGTGATCTCTCTGGAATTAATAATCTTTCATTTTACGAATCAGTGTTCTACAAAGTACTAATAAAGAACAGTTTTTATGCCAGTACTCATGGAACTGAAATGAAAAATGACTTAAACCATTTCAAACCTTTTTTATGCCATTCAATGAAGTTTGGATTTATGGAGACTCCCCCTTAAAATTGTGAGTCACTGATATTTGGGCGGCCTTTCAAGAAATCTGGGGTCTAGTGAGTTTCGAGACATGCAGCCGACCGTGAGTTTTTTTATCTTCTTAACTCGTTACGTAAGAGGTAAGTTGTACACTTATCTCACAACTTACCGAGATCTAAAATTGTAAAATTACGTATGAAAATCACGTTGCAGGAGGAATTGAATGAAGACCAAATTGCTAAGGTATATGATAACAGAATAAAAGTGTCGAAGCCAGAAATATTACGATTTGCTTTTCGGCAGCAAAACCGAGCCATTTTCTTTTTTCGGCTTGTGTGATATCGCCGACTGTTATTTAAGCGAAGGCTTACGCTCTATTCAAAGAAAGGACATTCACAGGTAATTGCTAAATGAAAAAAAAGTTATTGGATTTGAAATCAAACGATCGTTGTAACTACTGTTATATTCGTAGATAACATTTACCGCTTTGAATATTCCTTTGAAGTTTCCAGTTCGCTTTTACTTTTCGAGCCGTATTCAGTTTGATCTGTACCTTGAAATCGAAGAATTCCAATGCCAAGATTCAGTTCACTGGTTTTAAGATTATCAATATCCTCTTTTTAGCAGTCAGTGTTCTTTAGGGAAATTTCTTGTATAATAAACCAACCAGGTGTACTCAATTGTATGAGGAGGGAAATATCGCCATTTTTGGTTGCCAGTGCTCAACTTCTTTGATTACCCTATATTTCGGTCACCGATTAAATCGAGATCGAGGTTTAAAAAGATACCACGTGCACATGTACGCATCACGGAAATATTTCTAGACCAGCTTAGGTCAGTTGGCTTTTACCTTGTACTTTCTCTGCTTTTTACTTTCCATTACAACTGACAATATTGTTGGGAGAATGTTGACTTTCAAACATGTCCAATTTATTAATTGCTTTAATCTTCCGGTTTGTAATACTTAAGGGAAAAGATATTATTTTCAAAAGCTTGACAATATGTATGGCTACGAAAAGCGAACGCAAACAGGTTAAATAAAGACGACAAAGAGACCAGAATGCACCTAACAGGTTTTCACAGGCTATTTACTGTATTGCCAATCTACTGTACTTAATATATGCACTTTCCGTAAATAGTTTTCTTATTCCTCAGTTTCCACTTGACATACAACCATAAAACTGATTCGTCGAATCTTGAGCGAAAAAACAACAACAACCGCGTTTCTTGACCAAACGATCTCATAAGATTTAGGCTTCCTTATAAACCTATAAGGGAGACACTTTGTAAAGCTACAACAACGGGCTCGTCAAGTTCCGAGCAAAATAAATCTTATCGCTTTCTACTTGATCCAACGTCCTCGAAGCTTTCTGATTAATTCACAATGTAAATCGCATTTCAAAACTCTTCGTTTCTTTGGACATCAGTAGCATTTATTCTTCAAAACTCGGGCGAAATAAACATTGAAATTTCTCCTACCCATGCAAACATTTTCGCAAATAGCAGAGGGCACGTTTTAGGGCTCTTCAATAAAACACTGGGTATACTACATCGCTAAGATATTGAACTGTCAAATAACACCTGCGATAATAGGCTCCGACCTATTTAGAAATACTTCGCGAGAGTGCAAGCCCTTAGTGATATAGCTTGCTTGATTAAAGACAAAAAAAAAAGTATCCATTTTTCTCCGCCGGTAAAAAGGTATACTTTCCAAGATGACCAATAACTATAGGATACCCATGGTTACTAACGAAATGCAATATCATACATATGCCGATTTGTCTCTTTTGCCGTTTCCTCTGCCAATAAGTCTTTTTATTTCTTTCTTAATGTCACTCTTCAAAAATGCGTATACCAAAGGATTCACTGCTGAGTTCAGAACCAGGAGTAGAATGAGTAACTGGCTAGCGTTAGCAGACACTTGGCAAGAAAATGTAATACAAAGAACTAAACAACTTACAACCACGTAGCATCCCAAGAAGAATACAACTAGGGCAATTATAAAGCGAGATGTGTTGTGTTTTCTACGTCTGCGCAAATTTCCGGAGGATTCCGACGGCGTAGATGTGACGTTGGACCAAAGTTGTAGTACTATTGCAGTTTCTTCAGCTTCTTGGTGTGACTGTGCGCGTGCAACAACAAGGATTCGAACAACAGCATAGAAGAGCAGGGCACAGAATACTATGTCAAAGGCAGACACGCCAGTTAATCTTAGAACTTTCAGAGCCGTTTTGGAGGTTGTGGCGTACATCCCCACGAAAAGTGACAACGAGATCGCGAAGGGAATTAACCATGCCATCAAGATGACCATTCCAGGGCGCCTCTCAGTCATGGAGGTAATGTATCTGAAAGGGTGAACTATGGCGATGTAACGATCCCAAGTCAGGGAGCAAAGATTTGTGACCGAAGAGTGAAGGAAGAACCAGAAGAATGCTATGTACACCCTTGAGTTACACGCCATTGAGTAATTACAAAAATAGCTCGATGGAAAAACGGTGATTCCGACTCCAAAGTCGGCCACTGCCAAAGAAACGACGAACCAGTTGGCCGAGGAATATAGTCGACGATTTTTGGCGACGACAAAAGTTACAAAGGCGTTTCCTGTTGCTGTTACGATCGAAAGTAACCAACCGATTAAATTAAGTAAAATTTCCATTTCAAGGGCGCGTCTAAGAAAGAATTATTTCAGCTTTGATGTGTTGTAGGCCTGCGGGGAAAAATTGCGCACGTATCCGATTCTTGTCGATTGGGAACGTTGTTGCTTTTGATCGACGTGCGTTGTTTTGCCACAATTTCAAACATCTGCTGATACAACTGACGTGTGAACACCAACTGTGAGAAAGTTCTCTCGACTTTGTTCACAACTCACGAAATTGCTTTGTTGTCATCACATTTTCAGGCCAGTTTCCATTCTAATTAGGGCGGATGCCAACCCATCACAAATTGTATTTGAATAATAACAAAGACGCTGAATTGCAAAAACATAGCAACCCCGGAAATCATCGTTTTTACTGCGGTTATAATGAATAATAGGTGAGCGGCTTATAGTTCATATTGCCGGTATAGTGTAATTCTTATATGCAATGGTGTAACGCACAGAAATCGCTTTTACTGAAGCTATTTCCTCATAAAGTTCGGTTTCTAAGGGCCGGAATTTTCTTCAAACGAATTAGCACACGATCTGCAATACTGCAAGGTCTGAAAGGCTACTGGATAAACGGAATAAAATGCCTATTATATTTTATTATTTGTTGAAAAAATTGTTTATATATAGGGTTTCATTAATTTGTAACAAATATACCTTTAGTTTCGGTTAGAAATTCCCGGTACAAAAGAGACCTAATATGATGTTTAATCTGATCATTTCAGTCACGTCTTATGTCAAATATTTTGGCAATGCATGTGAGAAAGTCGTGAAGACTTCAGCTATGATCTCACCCTATACGTAAATTCACTGATAAATTTTAAATTTAGAAATCAGCTATTAGAAAACAAATCAAGTAGTCTCTATGTGAGAGTCTGGTAATCGTAGAGTTAAAGGGGCTAAAAAATTTCAATTTCTGTTTTACTCACTGATTATCGAATCTGAATTTTAATTATGAAAATCACCCCCGCCACAGGAGAAATTTCAGACCTCAACTTCCTCATTCGGGCCTTTTAAACCAATATTATGTCGCGTTATTTACCAACAGGTTTGTTTATTTTTCGGATCAGTTCTGTTGAAAACCAAAGCATAGTAACTCATGTTTATTAATACAATACAAATAAATCTGCCGGTTATGTTTTTTTTTTACCGGTTTGGTCATGTTGAAAGGTCGTGAAACGGTATATGTGTTTCGCAATTCTTTTACGCTGGCTATAACAGACGGGCTTCAAATTACAACTATCTCCGGTACCAACTGCAAATATTTCCTGTGTTTCATCTAAATGTTCGTGTTTCATCACGTTTCGTCTCGGAACTTGCTGTAAATATTTGTTTGGAAATGTCCAACCTTTGAAACTTTCCCGCCCAAGTGGGTGAATCTGCTCAATATTGTTAATAAATAGTGACACTTAAAAATGTTTTGCGCTGAATTAAATGCTGAATAAAAGGTTTGCTTTAATATTACAAAAGAAATATTGAAAGGCGGTTGTAATTTTTGTTCTAGATTGGGGAGCGGGGCGTATTTCAATATATTAATATTCAGACTTGGATCTTAATTCTTAAACTTAGCCTACGGGTAATAAAACGAAGGAATCGACATCTCGAATCATCTCGGTGCAGGCATGAATATCTTAATCTTCTTTCATTCCCAAAAGCCTGGTGAAGCCCTATTAACATCTTTAATACATTAGTTGGGCTAACTTCGTGACGCTTTCTAGCATTTATGGTGAAATGTTTAACTAAATCACATGTCTAACGTTTCCATGGTAGCTATGTTTTAACATGCTGCTAGCTCCGAAAAATTGAGTTCTACAAGATCTAATTAATTATTTTTGTAATTATATAAGTTTCTTCTACCATTCCACGGTCTTATTACTCTTAAATTATTTCTGTCACTTTAAACTCTCACTTTTGGCTGTTCTCTAACTTAACATCTCTCAAGGAATTAATGAAACTGAATAAATTCAGCGATGACGCTATGTTGTTGAGATGCAAGGTTGTAAATTGGTACATTGCTTTGAGTGGGAGGGAGGAGAGGCAAGAGGCATTTTCGGCCCCCTGCCCCACACCCTCGGACATGCATGTGTTCATCAATGGTTTCCGTGGTGATCGCCAGTCAATTTAAATGATTTGGAAAGCTTTTAAGTCTAGAGCTTTTGTTTTAGTAAGAGTGGTACTTGAATATGTTGGTGATCACAACGCGCCAACCGGTAAATAGCCAGTGATTAGCTTCACACGAGAAACGTTGTTACCCCGCAACGGTAATATTTATTGAGTTTAGCCCTTATCAAAACATCGGGAAATTTACATGTACTGGAAGCTCTTCGATGTCGTTAAGACTTGCTAATGGTACAATGTAAAAGCCGAAGCTTCACGCATGTGTTTAGTCAGTTTCCGCCTTGTTTGTTCTCCTCGTACCAAAATTGATTTATTATATATATAGGCTGCATGAGTTGAGGCTAAATGTCGTATGCAGATTATCCAAAACAAAAACTACATAATAATGCACTTACTCCACGTACAGAGCCACTAAAATGATTTGACTAAAACCATGAGACAGAGCAGATGTTGGATAATGAGCAAAAGTTATTGTACCTACTATAATTTGTAGTGGTGTGTGTGGAATACAATGAGGAAAGGAAAAAAAGACTTACCCAGGGAATCATCTGAAGCTAAAAATAACTTATCCAGATGGGTGCCTTATAATTTTATTGTTTTAACTTGAAAGTTGATTATCAAAGCTGGGAAGAAGAAACAAGAAAAGAAACCTATTGCTGGTAAACCATAATATCTTGTTCAAATGTGTAATCATAAGTTAGTATCCTTGATAAAGGGTCCGGAGTGAACTGGACACTTCCTCTGCTACGATCTAATTATTTTTCTGTTTTAATATTTGTTTTAGGTTTAAACTCAATTTCGTTGTTTACCCACATGAAGTTTAGTTTACTTATATGTGACAAAAGTTCAGAGTAAAAAAAAATATATTACGAGTGAAAAAAAGAAAAAAAACAAAACAAATTGAAATTCCGGATCTATATTATTCAGACAACGTTATATTCTTTAGTACATGTGTAACAACAACTGTCGGGTTTAACAATGTCTAAACGCTTTCAGAGACTCACAGCCACTGTCTATTCAATCTACCTGAAGTATTTTTCCGGGCTTGTTTTTTTACAATATGATTTCGTCGATATGACGAACGGAAAAAGGGTGTTAATAGCCACTGATTAGCGGTTTAAATGTTCTTAAAATCTTGAGCGGTCGAAACTGAAAAAATACTATCTTCCCTGTCAAGAGAAAATGCAAAGGAAAAAATATGTTTACAAGAAAGTATCATCATCCCAATGCTATGGTTCCGACTCTTTAATGCTCTATACAAATAAACATCAATTTAATTTGCCTTCTGATGTCCCTGTTTAAAAACGCGTAAACCAAGGGATTCACCGCGGAGTTCAGAACCAGAAGTAAATTGAGGATCTGCCCAGTAGCGCTAGCGCTGTCAGACCCCAGGCATGAAAACGTATTGCACAGAACCAAGAAATTTACTACTGAGTAGCATACCAGGAAGAACACGACTAAAGCAATTATCAAGGGAGCCGAGCTGTATTTCTTTCGTCTGCGAGGAGGTGCAGCTCCAGCTGACGTGTAACTGGCAGAGCTGGACTCAACCTGTCGTCCTATCGCAGATTCTTGACGCGATTTAGTACGTGCCACAGCTAAAATACGAAAAACAGCATAAAAGAGCAGCGCGGAGCTTATGATGTCAAAAGCAGAGACGCCTGTTGCTCTTAAAAGTTTCAGAACAGTTTTGGACTCTGTAGCATAAATTCCCACCAAAAGTGACAGCGCAATCGCCAAGGGAATCAACCACGCTGTTAAGATAACAATTCTAGGGCGTCTTTTTGTCATTGAGTTATGGTATCTGAAAGGATGAACGATGGCGATGTAACGATCCCAAGTCAAGGTGCAAAGATTTGTGACTGAAGAGTGGAGGAAGAACCAGAAGAATGCCATGTACACACTAAAGTTACACGCCATTGAGTCATAGCAAAAATAACTCGATGGGAAAACGGCGATTCCGACCCCAAAGTCTGCCACTGCCAAGGAAAGAATGAACCAGTTGGCCGATGAATGAAGACGGCGATTTTTGGCGACAAGAAAAACTACAAAGCCGTTTCCTGTTGCTGTTGCAACTGAAAGTAACCAGCCTGAAATGACGAACCAGTTCTCCATTGCAATCGAAGGCAGCAATTCTTAAAGGGGATTGCTTTAAATGTTCCGAAGACACTTGCTTGGTAATTCTAATGAGCGGTATGGCAGAAAAACAGCCAAACAATGGTTATTGTTGACCGCTTCCTCTGAAAAGAGTAATCTTTGTGCGGTATTTTCTACAAACAGACCAGCTGACAGCTGCTTTATGTCATTTCAGGACTTAATTAAACATCTCCAACTTTTTGTATATTTTAAGTTCCATTATATTGATGTATTATATATTCTGTTGTGTAAACTGGGTTAGGTTAAAAACAAATTCTTTGCTGTGTTATAATTATCTGTCAGCAGAAACTGAAGCCATATTTCAAAGTTAGACGATAAAAAAAAGGAGCCGTGGCAATTTCATGGAGAAGGCAAACTATTAATAGACTCGGTTCTGTTTTACCCAGACCCATCTTGTCGATATATCTCGCAAATTTAAAAGCCAAGTTTGCTGGCGACAATGGAAGCGATCGATGTTGTAAATATTTATGTAAATTCCCTGGCATCAAAAATTGTCTAAAAATGGCTTAATTTCCGCCAAGTTCACCTTTAAATGCTGTAAATGCTGTAAATATTCTGAAAGGAGGGCATCTCTCTATATATAACACCAATGTTGTCCTGAATGTTTCCCGTTTAAAAAAATCTAGTTGTGTCAATATAAATTAAAAACTGAAATTCGTTATAATTACCATAGCAGCTTGTTATCATGGATTTTCACTAAATTGTTAACCAAACAAAAGGCCGACCAAAGAGCAAGATATTTCAAAGAAAGCTCGGAGACCACCTATAAACCAAAACCTTTACTTTCACTAGTCTGATTGCCATAAACGTCTACTCTACACTGCGCATACTGTGAATTTCCAGGCGCATTTCTAATCAAAGCTCTCTTAATATTTGCACCCATTTACCAATAACGAACTTTATCGGTGTCAATTTTCCGAATTTTCAAAAGAACACTCCCACTTCTCGTCGTCATCTTTTTAATCTTAATTGTTTTTATGAGCTACTCCTAAAACAGTTAGATGAAACTGTTTATATACTGGGAGTTAAATAAAACAGTAAAAATATAACATGGATGTAAAATATATTTTATTCTTATTGTTCTGTTGTTGCAAAACAATTTTGATTTTTACCAGACTGATTGGCTAATTTGCCGTTGTCGATAAGAGTCCAGACAACGCCGCTCGCGTCAATGTATCACGCAATGCCTTTTTAAGCTCACGCTCTCAAAAAATATTTTCTTTGACGGTGATATTGTGGTCTGTACTCTTATCGACAACGATATGCGTCATCATAGTGATCAAATTGTTGTGGACTCACGAGGCGCAGATGGAGCAACAGAGACGGCGGCCCGGTGGCTGTTTGGATATCAAAACGTAACTACCACTCGGTCAGATAAACCAGTTTGATTTTTTAAAATTTCCTTTCCTGAGAATGAATAAAACCAAAAGGAAATTGAAATAAGAAAACACAAAGCTTCGTGCACGTTATGGCGAATGTACGCTAGTCTCAGTTTAACCGTTAGAAAACGAATATCGCTAGATGAAATTAATTCATTAAAAGAAGTCTTATATAGTTATAGGGGAGCTCCTGCGTGCCGAAGGGGCGCGGGTGGAGCCCCACACCTTAGAAAATTTGGTAACTCATCGATCTGAAAAATTTTTGGTTGTCACGTGACTGTCCGTACGTCCGTCCGTCCTTACGCAAATACCTTGAAAACTAAGAGAGTAGTACCATTACTATAGCTACATCTTTGATTTTGGGCATCAACGCTATTGTTATTTGACAGCTGTCACAACAAGCTATCCGCTGACCAGAATCACGTGACCCTATCGCGGGGTCAGGTTTAGAGCTCATCGAGATTGCGTGTTTTTTCGAAGTTGACCGTTGCCCAGTAACTGGTTTTCCGATTGGATTGCGGGCTCAAGTCAAGTAATTTCCCTGGGGAAGAAGGAGGGAGTACTTGCAAAGACAAAATGCCGGTGCGTTGTTGACTTTTCTTCTGACATATTCCTTGCACAATCTTCTCTTGGAAAGTCCTGATATGTTGCGTACGTATTTTCTTTAAAAAATGGTAAGCGTGCAGCGTGCAACTATCGAGTTATGGATGCACTCCGGAGGTTGCAAAGCACGAAAGAAGCGTAAGAGTCGCACGAGGCGATAGCCGAGTGCGACTCTAGCTTCTTTAATGCTTAGCAAACCTCCCAAGTGCATCCATAACTCGATAGTTGCACACTGCACGTTTACCATTTCTTTTATAACATTGAGACTTTTGAGACTTTTAAAAATTTGATGAGTTGCGCGTCTAAGGGTGAACTTGAACACATGAATGGCTTTTAACAATGATCTCTGTCACTTTCGTTCTTTGGTAAAATAAGCTCAAATGAAAAGAAGACTGAGGCCTAAAGGAAAATGTTAGAAATGTAAGCTTATATTTGAGCACGATGCAGTCTTTCTTTCGAGCGGCTGTTTCTTCAAGAGTTCAATTGACGATCGAGCGACGAGCGTTCGAGCAAAACTAAAACCCGGGCAGACTGAAATAATTCATCGGAGGCTACCAATATGTGATAAAACTTCCTTTATTAAAGCTCAGAAAAACTATTACCTTTATAACGTTTTTGGAACAGAAAGATTTCGTAAGTAAGACTTCTAAAACAGAGATTTTCTAAAGCTCTCGTGTTCAATTTTTGTTGGCCAAAAGCATATAAATGGCTTTCGATGCCAGAATAGTTTTACAAAGAAAGCTTGTGCTGAATTTTACTGTCGTGAATCGCTAGAAAATTCTCTCTAAAATTGCTGCAATGCATCACTAACCTCGAAAGGTTGATAAAGACCAGTTTGTTGTTTTTTGGTCCGTCTCCGTGTGCTGAGTGCCTTTGTTCAACCAGCTGATTCAACTCCTGCTCACTTAAATTCGCAAATCTCTTAGGTGGAGGCCTGGCAAAAAACTTCAGCTCGAGATTTGGTAGCTCACAGGAATAATATTCCTCATCTCCGGAAGAATTATTAGATTTTTCCATATTTTAGGAGAAGAAAAATAGGAATTATGTTTTATAAAGTGCCAACACCGATGAAAAGAATTGCCGAGAAAAAGTACAAATAAACAAACTGACGTGAGCGTGCAACCCACGGGCAAATGGATCGAGCGTATTTGACAATCAGAAAGCGCGCTTCGCTAAGGCTATGTTATAAACAATCTTGGTTAGGCTTATTGGGTATAGTTTGTTACAATTTAACTGGGAAAAATAGCAAAACCACACGCTGAAAATTACATGCTCACAATTGATCATTTTTTTTTTTTGAGTTTCTGTTCCAAGAAAGAATAATTCTCTTTTTACCTTTATGGTCAGTTATTGCAATCAGGAGCTCCGCTTTTAGGCTTGGCTAAATCTATTTGCTTCCCAGTGTCATAGCCATTGATTTACTTTATCTCCCTTCAAACGCCTTACGTATTGTTATTGTTGGCGTCCGTCTGTCTCGGGAGACAATGCAACTCTACGCCATGATTCAGTTTGTAGTTGAGTTGCAGTGCCTGCTGTGGCTTGACAGGCCAATTCTAGATCGGCAGGCTCTGTTGCAGTTGTCGCAGGTGAAAGTCGCGAATGACTCTGAGGGCATTGCCGTACTCTCCCATCCTCGCTCCTCTGGACGCTTGCCTCCAAGGTCCTTCTCCAGACACTGCGGTCTTCAGTCAATGTCTCCCAAGCCTGTCGGATCGATGTTCCCTACCCTCATGTCTCGTTTGCAGACGTCTTTGAACCCGTGGCAAGCTCTCCAGACAGGATGTCTCTGGGGATTCGCCCGTCGTCCTTAGGTTTGGTATATTGTTAACACAGCTGGCATGGGCGTTGATTTGCATGTTCATTTGTGCGTAAAAAAAAAAAAAAAAAAAAAAA